CGAAACCGAGTGCTGTACCAATATCATTAATGTGTTGTGAGCCTGAGCAAGCAGGCTGTGATCCGGCTTGTATCTATTATCTAATTATTTATTTTATGGGTTGAAAGGTTTTCGTGATGAATTCGACGATGCAGATTTGCCCTGAAATACTTCTGATGACCTGTTTTGATTTTTGAGTCTTTTGAAAAAAAAAGCTCTTAACTGATTTTATATTGTTCACTTTCTTTGTTATATTATACCGTTTTGGTTTCAATTCACGGCACCAATTTTGCCAGTAATTTTGTCAATTTAAAGCTGAATCGCCTAAAGAGCACCAAAATTTGTGGTCTTTTCCCCCTTTTGGTACTTTGAAATTGACATTTTTGGACGAAATTCTCGATTTTTGACCAAAATTGTCACAGAATTGAATCAGGTGATATTATTGGAGCTTAGTGCGGACATATGAGGATAAAAAATTTTAGCCGTTGGCCGCAGAAACGATTGATACAGCGAGGACGTTTGCAGAACTCGGTCTGTCGCACTGGCTTTGTATCCAGCTGAGGCAGTTGTCTTTGAAAGCGCCCACTGCCGTTCAGGTGATTATTTTGTGAGGGTGGATTTGCTATCCGGTTGATTGGCTTTTGAAGATGAGAGCAATTTTGGTTCAGATTTTAAAATTTTGTATGATTTGTGGAGAGAGTTTAAGAGCTTTTAATTGGTTTTTCAAATAAAATTTTATTTTATCGTGAAGTTTAAGTCAGCTTATGGTTTGGCTGATTGATTTTTATCAAAAGCAGTGCAAAAATTTGACTTTTTCTCGAAAAATTTGAAGATTACTTTGGATTTTAATAAATTTTGCGAAATCTCTCGCTTATTTTGGATGAAATTTCGGTTTTATTGCGCAGAATTCCGCATAAAAAATTCCAAATTTGTGAATATTTGCAAAAATATTTCTTCTTCCCTTAAATATTCAACATTTCTGGGCAATGGGAATAATATTAGGTGACTTTCAGGCAAACTGTATCCCGCAGACGCTGGCGGGTAAGGATATTTTAGGGTGTGCGAAGACGGGTACTGGTAAAACGTTAGCATTCGCATTGCCAATACTCAATCAAGTTAGTTTTGAACAGTTTAAATTGCCCGAAATGTCTTGGGAAAGTTTATTTTTGCCTTTTCGGGCAAAAATTTTCGCGAAATTCAGCATCNGGCATTTGCATTGCCTATACTCAATCAAGTTAGTTTTGAACAGTTTAAATTGCCCGAAATGTCTGGAAAAAGTTTATTTTTGCCTTTTCGGGCAAAAGTTTTTGTAAAATTAAAAATACTCGCACACTAACTCTCACCCTCCCTGTCGTTTTCTTGCCCATTTTGCTGATGCTTGGCACGGCGGGGAATTGAACCCAGCCGTGGTTGTCGGAAACGTAGCGACTAACCACTGCGCCATTGAGCCAACGGCGGAGAGGGCTCAAATAACGGTTATATAATGTGTACGTGTTGAATTTCAGTTAGCCGTTGACCCGTACGGTATTTATGCGTTGGTTTTGACGCCAACACGGGAGTTGGCC